ACCTTAATGATTCTGTGATTCTGTAATAAAGAACCCACTGGAGCTCTAAGGTGGCAGTCACCTGTGACTATTCAGAGAGAAGAAAAAATTCTGTGTCCAGCTCAGAAGCGCTTGGCCAGCGAGGATGCCCCCTGATCTGATGCTGCAAGGAAAACACTCGGAGTCTCACAAGGTAACATAAAGGCCCAGGGAAATGGCAGAAAGCGGGACAGGTGCTGTGGTTTGACCCAGCAGGCGGCTAAACACCACCCCACTCACTCCCCACTTCAGTGAGATGGGGAGAGAATCAGGGCGGGGGGGGAAGTAAAATTCATGGGTTGAGAAAAAGACAGTTTAATAGGACATAAAAAGAAGGGATAATAATAATAACAATAGAATATACAATAACAACAAATAATAAAAGAATATACAAAACAAGTGATGCACAATGCAATTGCTCACCACCTGCCAACTGATGCCCAGCCAGTCCCCAAGCAGCAGCCCCTGGCCAGCTTTCCCCTGGTTTGTATACTGGCCATGACATCGTATGGTATGGAATATCCCCTTGGCTGGGTTGGGCCAGCTGTCCTGCCTGTGCCACCCCCCAGCTGCTTGTCCACCCCCAGCCTCCCCGCCCTTGACTTAGTGTAAGCACTGCTCAGCAACAACTAAACCATCAGTGTGTTATCAACATTATTCTCATCCTAAATCTAAAACACAGCACTATACCAGCTACTAGGATGAAAATTAACTCTTATCCCAGACGAATCCAGGACAACAGGGCAGCATTCTGGTGTGGGCCTGGGATGAGAACAGAGCACTGTGGCTGCTCCAGCAGCTCCCAAGTCCCCTTCCCTTTCAGTGCCACTGGCCACTGGATAAGGGTATTCTCAGTCTTCTTGACCCTCACACTCCAGCTCTTATTCTTCCACATATATCAGATCCTGCTCCCCTGTTCTATAATTGATATTTCAGCAAAAATTATTTGTCTATTTATTCCTCTTGATCTAATTCTGCACTTCTAGAAGGATATCCTTGCATGTGTAGTCAGAGCTGCCGCTGCCTTTGAAGACCAGGTGCTTCCACAGGAGCAGGAGGCCTCCTCCTCACCTCCTCAGCCAGGCTGTTGGGGGGGGAAGATGGGCATCTCCTCCCTTGCAGCCTAAGCCCACCCTCCTCCAAGTTGGACTCAGCATCTCGTGACCCACAAAGGAGGTGGTCCCACCATACAATGGGCAGGCCCACCCAAAATACCAACAAAGGCTCACAGAAAAAGCCCAGTGGAACCTCCCTGGGTCACACCTCTCCCACATCACCCGTGTGCCCTTCTCTGCCTTGCATCACCCTTCTGGTTTAGTTTGTATTTAAACATACCCCAGCATGAACGGCCTGACCAGTTCACCTACGTGTGGTTGTTACTGGAAAGCAGGCTGTAATAGATTTGTCAGCTTGGTACCTGCTCCTGCTGACTTCACCCTTGCTCCACCATCCCTGGCACCCACTGACAGCAAAGGAGGCAGCTGCACAGGAACGTCAGGATTTGGTAGGTTGTATCTGGGTTTTGTAAAAGGTATCTGTGAAATAATGTAATTTATAAAGTGAAAAGTATTTAGAGAATGTTTGAAATACAGCTATACAGCTCATGAATTCAAGTAACCAAAAGCATCTGTGCAATAGCACTCTTAAAATTACAATAAATTAGAAGAGAGGCCTGGTGGAAAAAAAGGTTATAGGGGGAATATTTAAAAAATCACCCAGACACACTAAAAAAATGCAATTTGAAAGCATTAAAAAAAAGGAATAATGCCTTTTATTCTTTTTAAATACACAAGAGAGTATGCACACACACCACACCCACACCATCTCCCTGGGAACAATCTTTCTTTCACAGCTGTGGCTTTGCTAAATTTTTGAACTTTCCTGCGTCAGGTGGATTGGAAGTTACATGTGAGAAGTGACTATTCAAAAACTAGCCAGTGTGATGTCTGAGAAATAATGTTGGTTTTCTGAGCATCTTACCGCCACGTATCACAAATCACATTAACGATGAAGAGGAGTATCTGGTTATAGTACAGTCTTTCCACGCACACCAGGTTCTATTTTTCCCCCTGAAGTGAAGGATGACGTCTTTATCTCCTGTACAAGACAATTCGAGATCTGCTGCAGTTTAACACTATAAACAAAGCTGCTGTGAATCTGCCAGTTGACTGAAAAAAAGCTATGAAAAAGGTAGAAAGAACCTTTGATAAGATTTCTATTAATTCTATATATTTTGCTAAAATCTTTGCCTAGGATGTGCCTGCAACATTAAAAGATAAGAGTCCCTTTAAGACCTTAGTGACACAATAAACTAGACAATTTAGGTCTTTATAATAAAAGTTTAATTTGGTGTGGTGGGTTGATGTTGGGGGGGTGCCAGGTGCCCACCAAGCTGCTCACTCCCCATCCTTAGCAGGACAGGGGGAGAAAATTGGATTAAAAACACCTGGATCAAGACAGAGGCAGTTTAATGGAAAAAAAGCAAACATTGCATGTGAAAGCAAAGCATAAAAAGATTTGTTCTTTATGTCCCATCAGCAGGTGACATCCAGCCACCTCGGTATGTGTACTGGGTGCTTTGGAAGACAAATGCCTTAATAACAAATGTAGTCTCCCCCTTCTCCTTTCCTTCAGCTTTTCTTGCTGAGCACAACACCACATGGGATGGAATATTGCTGCAGTCAGTTGGGGTCAGCTGTCCTGGCTGGGTCCCCTTCCAACTTCTCGCCCACCCCAGGAGGAGGAGGCTTTTTGGGGGTGTTGAGGAGCCAGCCCTGACGCTGTGGAGCACTGCTCTGCAGCAGCCACAACGCTGGTGTGGCATCAACACCCTTCTAGCTAAAAACGCAGAGCACAGTCCTGCACTGGCTGCTACGGGGAAAGTTAACTCCAGCCCAGCCAGACCCGATACATGCAGAGAGCAACATAAAGCAGCAAAGTGTTTTAAAAATTTCAGTCCCTCAGATTCAATGTAGTCCGTACAACTGACATTCATGATTTACTTCACAGAAATAGTTTATTTAAAAAAAATAATCCAAACCCTCATCTTGAAGGGTATTTACAGCAGCTTTTTAATTGCATAGGTAATAATACAGCTTTGACAGCCCTTAATGAAAGGAAAGAGCAAGACTATCAAATTATTTGCCGATACGTTAAGCAATTGCACTGCTTTTTAAGTTGCTACTAAGTTCTACACTAGAAATTTGCAGGTCTTGATCATTTTTATGGAAGTCTTCAGGAAGCTCAAGGCTTATTTAGGTTCCCTGCCACAGCATATATGCAGGCAAAGTAACAATAGTCATGTTCAGTGAAAGCCAGAAAAACACAACTGCCCAATCCTATCTCTTTGAAGGAGAAAGTAAGGCATAGCTGCAGCTACTCAACGTATTTAGTGCTTCTCTGACATGCTGGGGTGTTAGGTGATGAACTCTTCTGGCCTTTTCCTTGATTAGCTCTAATGGCCATAGCTTTAGAACAGCATTTTTGGGGGAGTGGGGTGTACAGAGGTGGAAAGATAAGGAGGAATAGGTCTAGGTCTCGGCTCCTTCAACAGAAGGAGTGATTCCCCCACTGTGAATACAATACCATATTTTAGAAGCCTCATTTGGAGAATATTTGGAAAATAGTGATGACATTTTAGGAGCGTTACTGAAGCAGTGGGCTAAGAAAAAGGTAAGAGGCAATGTCCTGCCCATTACTGACTCAATTGCTTCATTCTTCAAGCAGCACTCCTTGTGAAGCTGTAAGGTTCTAACCCTTACATCTTATTTACAGGGTAAAAGCTGACAATGCAATTCAATCTGAAGTCTTCGGCACTTCTTTTGAATTACAGAGCAGAATTCATTCCTGTATACTGTGACATTTAGTAACTGTGCAATAGTGGGTTTAGTTCTCCTAGCAGAGTTGAAAGTATTATAACATTTTTCAGCTTTGATACTGAAAAACTGTATTTTTGGGTCAAACTATTACTCTTCAGAGTATGCAACTGTATCCGTAGAAATTGCAAATAAGTACAAGTTTCATTATGCTGACTGAGCCTGTGTCCATATCCATACTTGCATACTACTATAAATCTACTCCTTTGCAATATTCAAGCACAAGAGATGGAGTTTTCTACAAAAGATATGACTTATTTACACTATCATAGCAGAAAGAAAAGAGGCTTTTATATGTTTTAGAAAGAACTTGCAGTTTCAGGCAAGTCTAGTCTAATGCATCAAGCAATGCAACACCCAAATTATACCAAATTTGGTGCCACTGAGAAAAAAAAATCCCCAAACCCAAACCAAAAACATTTCATAGAAGTGAAAATTGAAGGCAAGCCACCATTTACAGAGAAATGTCATGTAGAGAATGCCTTGCAAACTGCTTTCCATTTTCTTCACTAACTTTCACTGTCTCTCTTGTATAGCAAGCCAGAAATCACTTAGTTCTTCTTGATGCTGCAGTGCTTTTGAAAGGATCAAATTCATCCTGCAATTTGTAAACAGAGATGCGTTACTAGAACTACCATGCATTGAGTCATAAAAAGTAAAGTCACCTTTAGATTAAACTAGAAAGGCCAGTGACATTAGTCCAGTTTTCTGACAGATCTGTTTTTGTTGGTTTTGATATGAAAGAGATTATCCATTGATTTAAAAGTACAGATCACAAACTCACAGACACTGAGTTTATGTCAATATGATCAGAACAGCTGCTTTGAAATGAAGAACGATCTGTATTTCAGGTATGACCTAGGAAAACGTTATCATTATGAGCAGCACCTACCTCAGTGAAGTTACATCCATACACATATCACACACCAGAATTTACTGAGATTTGCATAAATCAAAAATACTGTTCCTTTTTGCATGTTCAAGCAAACATGTAGTTTTGTATTTCAGGTACAAGAAGAAGAGATAGCATAGAGGAGAGAAGGGACAAGAATTTAACACCTTCTCTGAAGTGGCCAACATCTGACATCGTTAAGGCTGGGATCCTAACCACAGATGACAGTCTGCTAGTCTGTGAAAACAAACTGCACAGTGCTTGACAGCATAATGTGTATTCTATTCAGTGCAAAACCGTGAATAAAGTTCTGCTTGTTTAATTATAGAAGAAACCATTTCCTAGCAGTTCAAATACTGCAAGAAGAGACATCTGAAACCTGAAGACAGTGTTTTTAATTTTTTTTTAAGTTTATTTACATAACTTGCAACAATAAAGTGCCCTGGAAAATAGCCATTTAAATGCAAAAAAATAGAATTCTTCCTTTTTACAAGAATAAAATACAGAAACAAATTAAAGGACATAGTCAACCACTTTCTTCTCCAGGCAAAATAACCTATTCCATATATTTCAGGCATGAGAATTAACTGATTAAAAATTGAAGGGAAAAAGGACTAGGTATTTTCCTGATGTCCCCTCTAGCCTTATTTTTATGATTATGTATACATTCTAATTAAAGTTGGTTACAATAATTTAGCCCTGATAGTGAAAAAAAAAATACTCAGTTTTACTTTGAAATGCGTTATTCAAATAGCTGTAAAACAGTAAGCTATAGAAATAAAAGATAAAACCACCACTATATACCATACCTCATCTGACTCAAAATCAACTCCTCTAGATGTTTGGCTTTGTGAACCTCTTTTACTAAGAGAAGATGTAGTTGACAACCTTGAAATATAAAAAGAGAAAAAAAGGCATCAGTGTGTTCCCGATTACCAGACATTCCAATAACTTTCCCTTTAACTTAGATTTGGACCACCAATACAGAGATTAAGAATTAACAGAAATTACAATAAGTAGAACAGTTCGAATTTTCGAACTAACATTTTAATTCTAAAACTGTTACCTAGCTCATCTCAATCAGTAGACCAATCTATTGTTATAGAAAGATCATCCACATTAATAGGTAAAAACTTAAATAAATTCTCTAACTAGTGTTGTGACTTTCTTAAAAGTCTGTTTTTCAGGTAGTGGATCAGATCCCTGGGTTCTGCTGATTGCCAATCAGAAATAAGGCAGTCATGGTAGCATTCATGAAGCAAACATACTGACCTTTGATTTACTTTGGAAGAAGGAACAATAGAAATGTCTTCTAGATCGGAGTCATCATCTATAATATCCTGAAAAAATGATACCACTTATAAAGCTTTTTCACAGAATTTATTCTTACGGACATATCATGCATAATACTACAGTCCCAGAGCATAGAATGTTTGTGGTTTTTTCTTTTTTCAACTATATACCTACTTAGTTATACTATACACTTGACAGGGCTCCAGGCTAGAACTGTACAATGTGCAAATACAGTACAAGTTTTGCGCTTCAGACCTGCAGAAATCCCCAAAATACTCATATATATACACTCTGTATCTTAGATTATGGTCACAAATAAAACATGGTCTGTGTTTTTCTCAGAGAAACCCCATACAAAAAAGGGGTACAAAAGGTCTACAAATTAACATGCAGAAACTTACTGCTGGAACTGATAGCTTGGGAATGTCTCTTGACTTAGGCTCATGTTTTGACCATGTATTTATTTTTCAAATCAGAAGACAGCAAAAGGCAGCACAACTTCACTCATGCAAGATGCTTCTTACCTCAGAATAAGATCTAGATGAGTTCAAGGAGGGCTCTTGTTTCGAAGACCTAAAGGCTAGAATAAAACAAATGTAATATCTTTTAAGTGCTCACACATAAAATGCAAACAATGTTATATCATTCTTTTTATTTAAGACCTACTTAGCAGGTTTCCTCTGCAAAATACCCTGTAAAGCAAACAAGCAAAACCTCCCAAACCAAAACATAAGCTAAGCCTTTGCTAGAGTCTGACAACCCAGGGATCTAACCCTCTGTGCAGCAGCAGGTGCTTCCCAGTCTGGCTGAAACCCCTTCAGTAACTTTGGTTAAGAGGAAGAGAAAAATATTATTATAATTGATATTCCTGTATGCCTAACAGTTTAGACATTAACACATCTGCCAAAATTGATTTCTCTGCAGTATTTTAGATCATTTGCTGAACAATTTAAAACTCAGGTAATTTGCTGATTAATTTAAAACTTGCTCTACCTTTGGGTATTTTGTGTGGGATTCATGTATAGATTTGTGACCAGTATTTTTTTCTTTAATACTCAGATTACCTATGCTGTTTCCTCAGAGCCTGTCCTCTGCAGCAAGGAAGGGCTAGTCTCACATATGTGGCTGAAATCACGTATAAGTTTCTCTTCCCTAGTACAAACTGGCATTTCCAAAACTTGCTACAATATAAGACTAAATGGATTTACATTAAAGCTTACTAACTTGTAAACATCAGTGAAGTTTAAACTTTTTATCCACTGAGGAATATTCTGCACAGAATAGATGCTATTAAGCCACATTCCTTCTATGCTTATTCCTTAAGGAACTGCATACAGTAAGATGTTCCCTATTTCCAGTTCTCATCAGAAGTTCCTGACACATTTCATTTTACCTCATGACAGCAGGATATCACTATTCTTTTTTCTCCCCTCCATTTTTCTTTCTCTCATCACTGTTAGTTATTCTATTTCAAGAAAACCTAAAGAATCTCTCACACCTGAATTGGACTAACAGAAATAAAGACAATTAAGACACGTTATCATTAAACAAACACCTTCATTACACTTTGAGAGACCAGGTTAGAGTAAGAGTCAGATTGAAGGCCTACCGTCCACGATAGACATATTCTTGGCAGGCACAGATACAGGCTTGTAGGTTCTGCTGCTAGTAGCTGACTCTTGGCTAGTGCCTCCTGTAGGGATAATAAACAATAAGCAAATCTGTTCAGTGGTTATCTTTCTTTTTCCCCTTTAGTCTATCATTATTGAGTGGGAAGTCACTTAAAAATCTACATCCCTCTTCACTCCTTCTTTTTTTCCTTGAATCAAAGCCCTCCTTACAGGCAGAACAACTGCTCTGGGTCAAGTGTTCAAAGCTCCCCAGACACAGCCTCTTAACACACACGCCCCTGCTCTGATGGGATCACAACAGTGTTGGAGCACACCCTCACAGAACTAGTTTAAAGGCACTAACTAGATCAGTCCTAAGGACTGCATTTGTTTCAACTCATCCTGCTCTTAGACCTCCAGGTGTATTACTGAGACAACTCAAAGGAATATATTACTGCAAAACCCTATCTTTTCTTTTCTTATTTATATAATGGAAGTACTGCTATCACTATAAAGCGCACAATCACACGAGCACAAGGGACTATTTAATTAATTTTGCTTGGGAAACACCTCCCATTTTCTCAGTCACCAAAAACAATGAAGTCTCTTGTAAACTGCATTAGGATAGAGACAATCTGTACCTCCTTTCTATACTGATTAAATGCATTACCATTAGCAGTACAAAAGGTTTATCCATGCAATCCACAGCACAGACCTTCCCAATAATGCATCTTTTAAGAGACTACTATGTTTCCATAGCTGGAAAGCAAGATATTTTTCTTTTAATCACCCTGTGAAAATGTCACAACTTAAAACTTTGTAAGGCAGTCAACTCTATGAAATATGATACCAAAAAATATTTGTGAAGAATTTTTTTTTCCAGTAGCAGTCCTTAAGCAACAAATTTCCACTTGATGGAAGCACCTGAAGAGAGTCCCCCTTTAAAAAAACAGTCAGTAACTGCAATACAAAGAATGTGAAGTTTTTCTTACCTCTTCCCCTTCGAGATGAACCTCTTGCTGTTGAATTTTGTCCTCTTGCACCTCTTGCCCTACCTCTTGCCCCACCCCTTCCCCGTCTCAGTGTTGCAGGAAGGCCATCATCTGAATCACCAGTGCCTTTCGTCCCTGTATCCATGAGTTCTTCATCACTGGAGGCTGCGACAAGAACTGTATCCTCAGATCTGTGGGCTCTAGCCCTAGTCATGGCCTGAAATGGAACAGTAAGTGCTATAGGAAAAAGAATCTTAAATGATGAAATGCACCAGTGTTAAATCCTAGTTGTGACACATAGTTCTAAACCACTGAGGCTTAGAAGACCCGAATACACAGTGTTATGGAAGGCAAGGAAGTCTGTCAAAAAGCAGGGTCGGTATTTCGTTTCTTTAATTTAGATGTGTATATACAAAGTAGTTAGCTAAGCTCTGATAACAGAACAGAGCTAGGTAATATGACACACTGTCAGTGGAGTTTGGCAAACAGTTCAGGTCATCCTATGTCAGCTATGTACATCTGCTCAAAGGCAGCACCCTCTGGGCTCCTTTGACTTGATCTTCATTGATGACAGTAGGTGCCTAAGACAACTGGTTCACATGAAGGTATCTCAGGTCAGGAGAATGGAATCTTACCCCGGATGTCCTTTTTCTCAAAATTTCATTCCAGTCCCACATAGCTTGCAAAGACAAAGGAGCACCAATGCTGTCAGTGGTTGGCAATTCTCTTTGCAAAGACATATGCAATCTACACATGAATCTCTGGGAGATCTAAGAATGCTGATGAGGACAACAGTACCTAAAGGTTTATGAATAATACCAATTTGTTCCAGTAATATCACTCAGTACAGTCCATCCACATGTCTACTGATGATGGGATCACAAATAGTTTAAGATGACACATCTTTGAAGGTCACCTGCATGGTCAAACTGGAACATTCAGGTTCACAAATTTGCACAAGAAGAGAGATCTCAAAAGCCAAACATATTATAGGCACATATTATAATTTATATGCACATATGTGGCATAATATGTGCATATAAAAAAGGCACACATTATACCAAGGGAGACTTAAAAATTATTCATATGCAGAAGTCACCATTCCATTATTCAGCCTATGTTCAAAATTCAAAGGAGTTACCTCACGAACTTCCTCATCCTCTTCTTCAGTATTCTTTTTTCTACTCTCCCTGAATTTTCGCACCTAAGTAAGAAAGGAGTTTCCAGTAAAATAACAGTTCGTTTCATACAAGCATCAAAACACAGTAAGTGAGAAGTCTTGATCACTAATTATTAAGTCAAGCTCATGTGAGAGGCGAAGAAGACTTCAAGAATAACCAAACAGTTTGTTTAGAGCCTTTTCATGCTGTCCTACAGTTCAAGAGTCTGGAGTTCTATTAATAACTGGAGCTACATCACTGGGGAGAAAAAAGCTTGGGACATGATGAAAAGTAGGAGATACTACGTTCAACAGAGTATACATAATTTGACAATCAGGGACAGTGAAATATGAGTAACTGGAAAAGAAGGGGTAGACATGAAGAAGGAAGATAGAAGACAACCATACTGAGAAGAGACAAACGTTACAATGCATGTACAACTAAGAAAGCTCAACTTGTCAAGTATGGAAAAAGATGTGATGGGTGAGAGGGAAAGAAGGTATGAGTCCACAAGACAAACAAAAGAAAAAAAAAACCAAAGTGGCACAGAAAGCCTACAGGTGCTGTTTTTTTATGGTCTCTTTCAATCCCTCATGAATTAAAGCAATCAGCAAGAAAACAGGTTCCTCCCCACACTAAATTATTCTTTACACAGTACACAGTTAAGCTGGAGAACAACTTGTCATGCAATGCTTGAATATTACAACTGAATACATGGGCTCATGTGGAAGCTCAACGAGTTGACAGAGAAGTCTGTTAAGTGTTACTAGATACACACAAACCAGGTTTGTCTCTGGAAGACCCTTAGCTGCAAGCAGTTAGAAGCTAGTAGAGCAGCTGATGGATAAGTTTCCTTTATGCTTACCCTGTTCTTGCACTATTCCCTAAGAGATTAGGGAAGAAAGAGATTGTATCTACTAACCTTCTCACAGTAGAGAGAGAGATATAGTTCTACATATATTAGAGAGATCTCTTCTGTGCATGCATGTGCAAATACAGTGAGAATCATTATAAGCATACCTAACCCCCATTTTCAATACAAGCTTTTAAACTGTATATTTGAAACTTCACCACCACATTTATTAATTCCAGAAAATGACCAGAGGCGAGTGTTGCACATACTCCACACACAGGAAATTTATTAAACCAAGTTTGAGCACTGTTTTTTCTACTATCTTTCTTGACCTCTCCTAAGGAATTAACATTAACAGAATGTTACCTCCTCGTCTATTTTTTCTTCTTCTGCATCAGTGCGACGCTCCTTAAGAAACCTCTGTGTTTTTTCTAGTTGAAATTTCACCAACTCTTCTATGGCATCTTTTTCCTCTTTGTCCACAAACTCCTGCACTGCTTCTCCCATTCCTCTTTCAGTTAGAAGTGAAAGCTGTACTTTCTTTATAATTGGGGAAAACATTTTGTTAAGAAGCATCTGCCATCAAAGAAAGTGAGTAATATTCCTGCT